TAAATTTGAAGCCAATTCCTGTACACATATGTATATGTATGTTTTTGTTTGTGGCTATGATAGCTCACAAACGGATTAATCGATTTTTATGTATTTTTATATTGAAAGATTTTGCTCTTGGAAACTTTAACTATGATATTATGATAGTTTATTTATGCATTTGTATTGATTATATCAATTAATTAGTGTTATGTAGCGTCCACTTATTATACTTACAATATATGTACATTTAACTATAATTAATGCATTTATGACAAACATGAAATAAATTAACATTCCATTACAATGCAAAAAATATCAGCGATTACAATATTAACTATTATTTGTATTGTATTCCTTTTTATAGTTTAATTTTATTGTTATTTAGTAATCATGTAGAGTCCATTAATTTTTTGACAAAAAAAAACGTTATTTACTCTACAGTGTACTAAATCAATAAGCACCAGTATTTTCTCTATACTAAATAGTAGTTCCAATGGGTTCTAGGCTATAATCTATTTCCATCCCGAATATCCCATAAATCTGATAAGCCGTTACAATGTGAAGATATAACAAAAACACTCGCTAATAAACGTTAGTATTTATAACAAATATCAGTATGATAAAAACACCTTTATGTACTAGCTATAGTCGTTTAATATGAATGCGAGCAATACGTTGCTTTATGTGTAGCGTTTCATTTAGCGAGTCAATCTTAAAAGAATGTATGAATGCCCCGCTAACATCAGATATCTTCACGATTTTCTGTTGGTTTTATTGATAAAAGCAAAATTAGGCGTTTCCATCATCATGCTATTCTTTTTAAATAATTATTTTTAGTCTAGACATTTTAATTAAAACTGTAATAAAATATATGTTAGTACAGTAGTTATAAGTAATTAATGTGTATACTAGTTTATGGCAGCAGCTCAGCTCGTGTAGTAAGTGCGTTAATAAAACTCCTTTATAGTAATCCAAGATATAAGCTATCTGCATTTGGAATATTACTCCAAATAATTGGACTACTAAAGAATGAAAAACAAACACAAACTTATTTTTTTATATTTATCTAGTGACTTACCGGCTCTGCGCTCGGGTCATCCTACACCTAGGCACCTAGGTGTCTACAAGTAGTGTATATGTTATTTGGACCCAGTTATGCAAAAAGACAGCCATGTGCGTAAAAGTACCAACAGAGTTATAATTATTTTATTTTTTTATAATAAAATACTTATAACTCTGTTGGTACTTTTACGCACATGGCTGTTTTTGGCATAACTGGGTCCTTCCAGGTCTATCTGTAATATATTTAGCTGTAGTAGTCGATTCAGCGTAAAGAATTTATGTGTAGCGTGTCTATGTTGCACACACATACATACACAATACACACACATTGTAGTCCGACGTGTTTAGATTCTTGTTTGAAAATTTCAAGCTACTGATTTTTCGAAAATTTAGTCTCACTGCACAGAATGAACGCATAGTACGTATATATAGAAAGCAATACGCCCGCCAGTTGCCGGAGGAAGTATTTCTTTATTATTTGTATTGTTTTTTTTTCACTTTGTATTCTGCTGACAGTTTCTTGAGTAACAAATAACAAATATGAAAAATCTTTGATCATAGATAACTCATTTTTTTTTAATTTAACACTTTTCAATTTTAATGAAATCTTTTCTTGTGTAGTTATGACAAAGGTAGTTAGTTTTCCATTATGGCGACCATTATATTTACGGGAATTGTTGCCAGTAATGACAAAATGACGGATATCTTTGATGTGAAGATATTTTCTTTATTTCGTTCTCATTATTTTTGAATAAATACCAAGACTTAAATTACCTTAGTATTCCATTATAAATAGACATCTAGAATAGTATCAAAGTATTTAAGAACACTCGAAATCGATTTTCAGTACTTACTTAATAGCTGTACACATACTTTTAACAAAAGTGACTTACAAGACTGACTTAAATGTATTATTTAAAATATAAAAAACACACACTTTAAAGTAGTTGTTGGATAAACAATAAACATATGTAAAGTAGGTACATCGTATTTTCCAAGGGTTATACGAACGCTGTAGGCAAAAGGCAAGTTTCATCTCCGGTGTTTTACTTGCGATATTCAGCGGACTACAAGGATGTCGACAACTGTAAACAGCATTCTCATTTATCTACATCTTCTAAGGACTGATTAAATTGCTTTTACTAGCGAAATAAATTTTATTACATTTAAATTGCAATTAATTAAGATTTTATATAAAAACCAAACAACAAACAATCTTTATACAATCAGTAGATTTTTCTTAAACTCGAGGAATAATTAATAGAAGCTGTTTTAAATCTATTCAACTAAAATAAAACATTATTATTTGTAAAGAAAAATTGTACTAACAATAATTAATCTTTTCGTAGCTTTAAGTTAAATCATTTCTACTCGCTCTAACTGCTCTCAGGCTCTTATACCGAGCATATTTCACCTTTTGCAATTTTTTAAAAACGTAGCCAATCTGGCTTTCGATACATAATCTAACTTTACACAAAAATAATATCATATCCACATTCAGTCAGTCAAGCTGTTTTAGCATGAAGGATGAACAAACATACACATATATACAAACTTTTAAATTTCAGATATTCTACTTGAAATATTGTTTCTCTTTAGTATTTTCGCCTTTTATTTTATGATATATTTACTCGGAGTCACAGTACACAGTATTGTACGCTTCGTTATGCACGGCAAATCTAAGCTATGTATAGCGTACGGTGCGTCGAATACGTCTGCGTTGAAGTTTATACTGCCTCAGTAAATCTTAGCCGATGCGGTGTAATGTCTTGCTAACACGAAAGAAATTTACCGTACGGGACAAAAAAAGGTACACGAAACTCGCAATTATTGTTATTAATGAATATTAATAAACGAATTCCTTCATGAGCTTAAGTAGAGTAGTTAAAAACATGAAATATACTAGTAGTTCTGCGAACAGTAGACCTCGCGAGCACAAACTGCATTTTATGGAGCTATTCTCCTCATCACGCCAAAGATCCTTATCAGATCCTCGCCAAATTTTTATGAGACTAATTTAAAGTAACAACCTTTCAAATAAAAAAAAAACATCGAAATTGGATCTCATAAGACAGAGATATCCAGTAGCCCCCTTTTTGCCTCTTTTTGGAAGGAGGAAGGAAAGAAATACTCTTCCAAACAATTAATCCTTGACGACAAAAAAAAATCAATTAGTCCTTCAGAGTCAGACCTGTGGAGATAACAACAAACTGACAGAGGAAAGCTAATTTTGCCAGACTTAATGCAGAGACGTTTCGCTCGCTCGGTCAATTAATATATGGCACCAGTTATTAAATATCAGAAATTGTGAATGTAAACTATGGTTATATCTATTGGTAGACAAGGAACAATATTTTTGCTAATCCTCAACATATTTTTAAAGCAAACAAATGCACGACTATCTGTTAGTTTCATTCTCATGGCTAAACTGGGCTAATTTTGAAACTATTTCAAATTCAAATTTCAAAATTTCAAATTCAAAATTCAAAAAATCAAATTTCAAAACTAATTTTGATAAAAATATTTAAGGATAAACGTTGAATGTTAAAAAAAATATACAGGTATATTTTTTTAATTCTACTCTTAAGAAATACTACTACTCTACTACTTTAAGAACTGAAACATTATTAGTGTCTAATAATGATTCACTTCATAGTAAGTATTAATGTGCACGGAATAGAGAAAATATTAGAATAATAAGATTTTTTAAATTAAAAAGGGTCTGAGTGAAGCCAGGGCAGGTTTTCCATATTCACATATGTATATGAAACTCTATTTTTAACTTTTGGTACTTACCATGTTACCTTCCATTTAAAAAATGTTCATCGCAGTAACTATATACGGAAACTATTGCTCCCTCTTGTAGAAGTTGTCTAATGTTTATAGCATAAGATCGCGTTATTTCACATGATTCCCGCTTTTAGTGATCTGCTGGTATGTTATTACATGCTCGACAGTTCATTTGCGCTGTTAGAAGATAAGGCTCCTGTTTCTTGAAATTTATTGCGTTGTAAATCCGCCCGACGCGCCGGCACCGATGACTTGCACTTCGTCCTGGCTTTCAAACATTTGCAGCTTTCAGAGGGGGACATTAATTAATTTTGTACTCGTGCGTTCAATTTGAGTGACTCTGTTCTTTAGCCCTTTTTGTTCAGTCCTTGAGGCGCGGTGTAAGCACTCTTTTTGCGAATCGTCCACTCTTCGGTGCAAATTAAATTCATATAAAGAATCTTCTTTCATTAAGAAGAAAATCGTTTTTTATTAAATATGGATATATTCGTAACAATGTATACAATTCTTAACATTATTTTTGATCACTTTTAAATGTCTTCCAATTACTAGGATAATAATAATTAATCTATCTAAAGTACTATAATAATAACGGGTAGGAATATACCTATGAATGAGAATAGTCGGAAACTGACAAATTTTGTCAAGTATTACCGTAAATCTAAGAAAGTATTTATCTGTCTACTTTCTTATTATGCTTACTCATGTGATTCGATTCGCTAATATACCCTTCTTTAGTCTTTTACGATAAAATCCGAGCGGTACAATTGAGATGACTTGCACTTTGGTTGGCTGAGTTAATTGTGACCGTATACGAGCCCCAATACTTGTTTTATAAAACTTCACTATCACATTTGAACCGGTTTACTTTTATTACAAAGTGCAATTTGCCTTCACTTATTTTTATTACTGCTAATTTATACATACTTATATTTTTTATTCAAATTTTTGATGCAGAACTTCCAATTCTTATGCGAGTGGTAAAATTAAAACGCAGTAAGCAAGGTGTTTTGATTTTCTTTAAGGAAGCTTTAGCTACAAAATGTTCACATAACCTTTACACTCGTTAAGAGCGGCTGCAATTCAGTTTTAAAGGATAATAAAAAACAATGAGTATAATGGCAAGGTATGTTTTATTAATTCGCCGTACAAGGCGCGACGGCAGAATGAAGCCGACCGCCATTTTTCTGCGGACGAGATTTAAATATGGAATTCCGGTGTGCGAGCGGGAGAGGCGCGTGCCATTGACCTTGCGCCAGGGCCGCGCACGCGCCGCCCGCCTGCGCCCACGCTGCACTAAGCACAACGATGTATTGTCTTCATTATCATTTGCTTATTATAGACTTTTTGCTATATCATTTTAATTTATGGAACTTATCACAAGTTAATAACTTTTATCGTGCTATTAATCGAAATTCAGTTTTTTACCTATAAATAACTAATTTATTGTGCAGGTAACATGGAATAATATACGCAATGTAAAGGAAACGAGGGCTAAACGTAAAAAAGACGCTCGCATACGGCCACACGGCAAGCTCTGAGACCGCTAAGATACGTTTACACTCATCTGAAGGATACTACACATTTCACCGTTGCGAGCTACGTGCGCGTGACGTTAGCGGTTCGCAGCGAAAGCTTGCTCATTAGACTTGTTCACATCACAAACAAGCGAGCGGAGCCAGCGCAACACTTGCTGGGTACTTAATTAGGGAAATTGCTTACTGTTTACGTATCCGCGTTCTAACCTGCCTAAACTACCCTTGCCTAATGAACTCTGCTTGATTGAAACGATTGGTGCACTAACACTTGTATGTTGTACTACTAGTGATCTCGTTTTTGTGTTTTGCCGCGGGAAGAAAATATTTTTCTGTAGTAAAAAGTATCTTAAATGTTAACCCGAATAATAAGTTATCACTACAAAAAATTTAATTAAAATCGGTCCAGTACTTTTTGCGTGAAACGCGCACACACAAAAAGACATACAGATAAACAGATAAAAAACTTAACAACTATTGTTTTGGGGCCTATATTCTGTACACAATACGTTAAGTCTTTAAAAAATATTGTTTTAAAAAAATATTTCGTGTACAGATTTCGATAAGTTACTATTTTACTAGTATTACATGTATATGTAGATTTCAGTAAATAATGCCTTTGTATATTTAAGTATTTAAAAAAATATTTTGTATAGTTCCTGCTTAGCTAATTAATTGAACGTGCGCCCACACGTGAGCTGAACACAAAGACCAAAACTTTTATATTTGCTTCATAGCTCAGTTATACCTAATATTTCACCTATCACGTCTAGACAGTATAAATTGTGCTTCAAAAGAGGGAGCTAACAGTCCGACTAACCGCTTGTAAGTCTACTAGCGCACCGCTTTCAGAAAATAAATCATTAAAGCGCTGATTAAGTTCAATTCATCCTTGCTGTCATATTTATTGTATTAAGGCATTGTTTGATATTATCAAACCTATTTATATACATATATAAAACAGTTTAGTTCGCTCATGTTTTATGAGTAAATGTAAAAAAATATATTATTAATCTAATAAATAATTTAATATTGTATATCAGCGATTATTATATTATTATGTACTACCGACTCACCCTCGCTTCGCTCGGGTTCGTCCCTAGGTACGTTTTAACGGTTCAAAACGAATTCGCGGCCAGAAATTTTCTGTATTAATTGAAATGCGATTAATGAAGACAAATATTTATAACCATTTTACATTTCATTATAATATTATAATTTTTTACATTTCATTAATAAATTCAAATTAGGATTAAAGACGCGCCTTCGTTTGCTTTCTCTCTTTTTAGAGAGTGGACAATTTTATAACAGTATCGCTCAGTCTATTCCCTAGGTCTATGGAAAATACATAATATATCAATTAAATAAATCAGATTCCATACCACAGATAGTATTACATTAGTAATCTTATGAGGTTTACCTCTTTGATTTGGAATTTTAATTAATATTAGAATTTAATTGATTTTGTAAAAAGGTAAACTAAATTTTCGACTACCATTGCTATTAATACTAAATATCTACTACCTACATAATAATTAAGATTCTTAGAAGCGGACCACCGTAAAGGACCTCGTGTTCGATATTCTACCAGCTTGTTATTTGAGATGGCGTCTTTAAGACATCTAATTACAACTTAAAAGGAAGCGAAATATAAACAACTTATGAGTATTATATTAGATAATAAAAATGATCATTTATGAAAGGATAAAACTTATTTTGAGGAAAAGAGAGCTTACTTAATTACCTATATTACTAGAAATGATTAAAAAGAAAATATATACATATAATAAAAGTGTAACTGATCGCTGTCTGTACATGGAAGATATTTGAGAAAAACCATTATTGGGGGACTTTAATAAAGCAATAGAAACCAAAACTTTTTAGAACTTTGGTCTGTGCCTTTGTTCGCGCTAATCTCAGAAACGGGGTTAACCGATTTGGGTGCGGTTTTCACTAATAGATATATTGTCGTTAGTCGTACGCTTCACTTTACATTTAGTATTTGTTTTATTTCAATCAGTTCATAAATAAAACTGCTTTGTCAATTTAAAGAATCTCCTGGGACGAACCATAAATATTTTCAAACGTTAAATATTTTTAAATTTTTAATATAAGATAATATATATATATATATATATATATATATATATATATATATATATATATATATATATATATATATGATTTTTCTATGAAATAAGTATTAATAACAATACTGGGATTTAAAAAATATTTGCAATTAATGAGATACCTATATCTTTTTTAGATGTAGTAAGAGAAGTTTTGCTAATTACCACTACCCACAAACCACAGCTTGAGTATGCACACCGCAGCATGCAATGACCGCTGCAACAGTTGACTTGTGAAATAGTTACATGTACTTTATTTGCTGTTTTAGAAAGTTATTATTTATCCTTACATGATGAAACACAATGGCTTGCTGTGTATGTTTATTTGTAGTTTTAAATAGAAAACTACTGCCCTGAGTTACGAAATTCTTTAGTATGGAAATATGTTATCTGGCCAAGTTTTACTATATACTATGGAGGGTACAGCTAAGGAGAACCGTCTTATACGGGAAGGGGGAAGTTTTGGAAGGGTGGAAAAAGTATCCAGCTTTATGATAAAAATAAAGGTTTTAGTATGTACTAGAACGGCGTACGAAAAACTACGATATGAATCTAGCTGTTGTAGATGAAGTGAAATAAATATATAATATAATAATATATAAATATAACCAACCTTAATTACTTTTGGCGCTCCCTTTATTCCTACGCTACCGTAGCGCCACCCTTATTGGACGCGTTTTGACGGACACTTTTTCATTCACGACGACGACTCCTTACATCTACCCTCCATACTATATTAGTATATGAAAATAGAATTAATGTCAAAAAAGGTTAGTGCTAATTAGAAGCATATTCCGTGTGCAGTTAGGGCCTGAATGAAGCGAAGGAGTACTATTGATATACTACAATTGATGATTTTGCAATATTTAGCTATCTATGCTCTTTCCCTTGTGGAGAGGAAGACAGAACAAAATCATAACACTCTATTCCAATTTTTCTCCGATGTCCAGTAATACAAAACTATAATAATGTACCAGTATATAGTATACTAGCATTGCCCGCGGCTCCGTCCGCGTTCAGATGACCAAAAACCAAATTCTTAGGTTTTACAAATTAGTATACTCTTACATTGCAGTTTTTGTTTTTTTCCCAGAAATGAGAATAATATTTTCCCGCAGTAAAAAGTATCCTATATGTTGACCCGGATAACCAGCTATCATCATACCAAATTTCATCAAAATCTGTCCAGTGGTTTTCGCGTGATGCGGTAACAGACAGACAGACAGACAAAAATTCTAATAACTATATATTCGGACTCTGTATCGCTAATTATGTCTATTTCAATTAGATTTTCCAAAAAGTATTTAATGTACAGATTCGACTTAGTTACAATTTTATTATTTGTATAGATATAGGTACTATAATAGTAATGTACCAGTGTCGGCTACATCACCGCGCTTTGTAGGTATCAATCTCTAAAATAGGAGACGTATACTGCACGCTAAGAAACATTGCAAATTACAGCAGAAGCACTATAGTATGTAATATCTACATACTTCATAAATACCTACATAAAAAAAGATTTATGGCACAAATCCACCTTAAATCTTAATGTAATTCGCTTTACATGCTATAACTTTAGCGACGTGTATTATCTTATTTCCAAGAGAACTATCTGCTGTGATCAGTATTTAATTCTGCTAAACAGGTTGCATTTCTCGAAGACCACTCTATTGAAGCGATGGCAACTTATATTTTATCATCGGTCGTGATATAAAATATATAATACTATTGATAGTTTTTTTATGAATGATGTATGTATACTCGTATATGAATGTGTGCAAATGGGTTTTTAAATGATAACCATTGATGTTCCGAAAATCTTAACATTCTTGCTTAAGACGTATACCTACTCGTATAATAACCTACCTATTCCTATATATGTATATCATAATATTATAACAGACGATTAAATTAAGTTTATAAATAAAGATATATACTGCGTTTGTTCATTTTAATTATTTTACCATGTCTTCTACATTTAATTAATAGGTAATAACAGCTATTAAGGTAACCTATCTTAAGGGTCTTGCGATAATAATATTCATTTTATGATTATAGCCTTAAAGACAACGGTTTCATCTATTCTTTATGGATGAAATCTTGTTGGGCCCATAACAACGTCTCATAAGAATTACCTTGTGACCCTAATATATAAGGTACAAGTACAAATTGCTATATATTTACACACTTTAACACTGTAAATTTTTTTAATATTACTTATACAAATTATGTGTATTTAAAGATATTTATTAGAATTTTTTTTAATACTTATAATATTCATTACAATATACGTATACATTATTTTTACTAATTCCTATCTCGCCTCGTTGTTGTCCAATATACATACCATAGTAGCCAGTGCCCAAAGCATCTTTACATAGTATAAAATGAAGTCGCTTCCGCTGTGTGTTCGCTTAAATCTTTTAAATTACTCAACGGATTTTAATTCAGCTTTCAGCAATAGATCAAGTGATTCAAGAGGAAGGTTTATTATGTATAATACATGCACATCACAGTACAGAAAAGCCGAGAAATTCAAAGATTTACCTAGATACGAACCCGAGCGAAGCGAGGGTGAGTCGCTAGTGGTATATAAAACATATATTTTACCATTTTTAAAAAAATCTCGCAATATTATTCTCATATGTTCAATTATCAATAATTTATCATATATGGCAGTGATGTTTTGAATCGACATTCCACGTATTATTACCACCAATTATGATCACTTACGATTAATCAAGACTTTTGTTGAATAATCATTAATGGACAATCATTTTCGTGCAAATGGTCCCGGCTATTTGAGCGAACAGCTCATAAATACACACTGCTACTTGCGTAATATAGACTAATATCTGCTTTTTTATTGTAATGCTATTTAACTTTCTTTCTCTATACTGTTGCTCGTATAGGGGCACCATCATGCAGGAAATTTAACAATTAATTATTAACACTGATTGAATACTTTATTGTCGTCACATTCCCTCAATTACCACTACGTATGTACATTAGGGTGTTGAATATCTATTTACTATATTATAATTGAGCTGATTGTTAGAAAATATCGATAGAAGTTTACTACATTTAATAGAGTTCGTCTTCATTTTTAGTCCGACTAAAAGGAAGAGGTTCAAGTGAATCTATAGATACATATAATAAAATTCTGAGTCGAATCTGTACATTGAATAATTTTTGGAAAATCTTATTGAAATAGTCATTATTATCCATACAGAGGACGAATCTATAGTTCTTAGAATTTTTGTCTGTCTGTCTGTCCGTCTGTCTGGGAACGCATCACGAGAAAACCACTGGACAGATTTTGATGTAATTTAGTATGATGATAGCTGGCTATGCGGGTCAACATGTGGGATACTTTTTACTGACTTTTTTACTTTTTTTTTAAAACGTAATGAACGAGGGAAGGAAGGGACGAATCCGAGCGGAGCGAGGGTAAGTCGCTAGTAATATATAATTTTTTTGCACATGTTGCCGGATTTCTTCACCATTTGCAAATCGATTTTAATGTTTTTTTTTAATAGATTACACCTTAATAGTCGTATGAAATATTAAGAAAAAAATAATTTAAAAATAGAGACGGAATATATTAAAAGTGATTTTAAAGTAAAATCGGTATGTTTAACAGTTAAAAAGTAAATTATATTTTTCTATGATGCTTAAATAAATAAATTCCAACATAAAATATATTTTAAAGGAGCTTAGAACCTCGTTCCACGTATATGGGATCATTATTATGCAGGCGAGCTTACTATACCTATACGAGTAGGTACGAAACGCAGAACAAACTAGGATTGTAGCAAATAACGTACTTTTCTTTAATACAATCTCATAGCATTTTACAATATATAATGCTGCTTAATAATAATAAGTTATAGCAAATTGCAGGTTTTTTTTCATAATTGATTTTTAAATTAAAGTTAAGACAGCAAACAGTTTACAATTCTTCGTATACTCTGTATTACGTTTGTAATACATATCGTAGTTCTCTAAGATAGCTTGGATAAAAATAGACTTATACGAGTAACAGCTACGATCTTTATGCGTATCATCTTTATATGTTATCTATACATATAATAAAAATGTAACTGATCGCTGTCTGTACATGGAACTTGGAAGTTATTTGAGAAAAACTATTATTGGGGGTCTATATTAACGCAATAGAACCCAAAACAAAGAAAAAGGCCTTAACCGATTTGTGTGCGGTTTTCACTAATGTATTGTAGTAAGCTTCACTTAACATTTTATGTTTGTTTTGATTTCAATTGATTCAAAAATAAAAAAAGGTTATGTCAATTTAAATAATCACCTAGGGACGAGCCCAAGCGAAGCGGGTGAGTAGCTAGTCTATAATTAAAAAATCAAATAGAAAAAGAACATATGACAGTACCATAAATTATGCAACGTGATATGTGTATAAACTTTTGGATAACCCTTATAACAGCACATTTAAATATATTTAAAATATATGTGCTATACAATTAAAATTTTTGCGTAGTTTTGTAACAAAACCACTTGAAATATAAAACTCAGCAATGTTTACAATATGATAGTCTCACCGTACGCCAAGAGTTCTGCCAGTTGATGACATACTTATCCTTGCCAAAAGATCATTGACATCTCAAATGTCAAACCGAACTCCAAGAACGCTCTCTATATGACACGTGTTAATTAAAATAAAGCCTCTTAGATCAAGAGATTACTATAAGTTATTGATTTCTATAATATAGCTACGACTAAATCATTGTTTTATTGTTATAGTAATTTATACTGTTTATTTAACGTCGTATCTCACGTATGAAGATATAGAAGCTATTTACATATTTTCATTTATTTTTAAATAATACCACCATTTACCGTTTAAATGACTTGTAGCAGAATTCTATTGAAAGCTTATTTTATTCAGGCGGATAATGCAGTCCCGGATCGGAGCGACATGAGCGCAAAGATATTATGTTACCATATTGGGGTAAAGGCGCCTAATGTGGCAGGGCTCGGGTTACGCGACACGCGCAACGACGTGCGGACATGTGCCGTAAACGACAGTTCCGGTGTATCGCCTCCGGGCCAACCCGTTCCGAGACTGATGACCGCAAGATAACGGAACGCAATACCACTCTGTCCGCCCTGCACGCACCTTGGGAACTACCATTCATATTAGCAACCTCACGAGTCTACCGCTAGGGCTATTAAGTACACAACATTTTAAGTACGAATTTAAAAGTCACAGTTATAAAATGAGTAAAAAGATTATAAATGTTTAACAATTTATTGTAGTTGAATTGCGACCCGTGTATTCTCTTTGTATATTAGTTAGTGGACTTGGTACCTGTTTAGTCAAGGCCGATAGCTATTCCACAAATCATGAGATCATTAATTTCGCTTGAATTCGCATGCTATAGGTATATGTTTATGTTCAAGGAGGATGTTTTGAAAAAGGACAAAATAAATTCGAAGTAAGGTTTTTAAGCTATTAAGAAAAAACTGCTGGGTTAAGTCTCGGACAAGACACCTGCGCGCCAGACGAGACAAAAAACATAAAACAATCTTATACTCGTAGCAGCAGCGAATAGCATTTTGAAGAAAGAAAAAATATTACAAACTTTCATTACACCAGCAACTGTAAATCGAGTGTAATACCATAAAAACAAGTAGACCAGAGTGCGTCGTGAAGGTTATCTTAACATACATATAATGACATTAAAAAAAGAGAGGTTTTTTGCATCTGTGATTTCAATGAATAATAAATGTGATGAATATGATTAAGTTACCATACAGAAAAACTTGATTATGCGAGTTTTGACATTACAAAATACTTAAAATTCTTATCTTGTAGTTTTTATTAAAAAAAAAATTAACAAAGTCTTCAATGGAAAGCTTTCTTTAGAAACCTTGGTAAATATCAGCATTAACAGAATTTCTCAGTTACATCAAATTTATCAGTAAGACGGAATATTTTTTTGAATAATAACTAGTGTCTAATTTAAATAATAAATAGTAAATAATATACTTTTTGTAAATAATTTACTGTTATTTTTAAGTCGGAAAAATTCCAGATTTATTTTTTACTGAGTTAACTCAGTATTCTTATCATAAAAAAGTCATTCAAGTTATAATCGAGTTTTATAAGCTATTATGTATCATTACTTGACTTAAAGTAAGAATTTGCGACGTAAACAAGCGAGTTTACGTTGTCCAGTAACGGGTTGGGCGACCGTAAATTAATGACGTAATTTTATCGATAAAAAGTATGTGTCTACGTATATTTACGTTTAGACTAAAATAACTAAGCCGGTGTAAGTGATGTTTATTTTGTATGAATGTACAGTTGAAGTTAAAGCGAAATGGTAATTTTTCGCAGCCGGATACCGTGTTACTTTCAACTAGCAAGAATGCGGCCACTGACCAGCTTCTCATGCGCCCGCGCCGCACCCGTCTGCCTCGTGTCTGTTCCCCCACCAGTCGTTGATTAAACAATACATTACCTCTGTCAATACTAGAATAACACTAAGATTTTATGTCGAATAAACTAACACAGATGAGCTTTATGAATAGTTTTAAGTGCGTAAAGAGTAAAGAAACCTTTTATGTGTTTTTCCATAAGTAAAGTTTTTATTATTATACTCTAATCCTTTTACAAGAAGATTATAAAACAGATTTTAGTAGCATAATATAAATGAGTTTCTTAGATATATTTGCATTAGAATATTTACTTATATCCATCTGTGTTCTTCTTATATAAGAATTCTTGCAAAGTAAATGTGATATGCGGATGTTGACATGCCACACGATGTGTATATAGGAATTAGGGGGTGAAGAAGACCTCTAATATTACCCTCATCTCATTTTTATTACCAAAATTAATAAGGCCTAATAGCAAATTATACCACTAGATGGGATGAAAATTTTTATAATATTAAATAAATTAGAATCAATGAATTGTAAATTGTAACTCTGTATTAACAAAAGTACTATTAGATCTTGTAATTATTGACCTAAAATTGCATTTTAATTTCATAAATTATAGGAATTACGCACATCAATAAATAATTTTGTTTCAATTTTAAGTTTCGGTAACAATTTAAATAAAAATATCTTTGCAGATTTTTGGTTCTCGACATTTCGAATCCTTCACAGCAATCACGTTCACGGTCACTCATGGTTTTGTATTTTTGAATACATATTGTATTTTTTGAGTAGGCTCTCTGTAACAACTATATAACAGCTTCGAGACGTCTAATACCTCAGCCTATCTCATGCCCATGATCGATGTAAAGCATTTGAAACGACGGGAACTAAAAATCAAAATAAATCCGCGAAAAAAACCGGAAAGATAGATTAATATATTTTAAATTAACAGTTAAATTACAATAAGGCATACATTAAAATACCAACCAGTTAATAGTAGTAATCCCCATTCAAACAAAAGTGAGCAAGCACCATTCAATCCATAAGCTTTAATTGCGAATGGCTTTCAACATCGCAAAAATCTAGATAGAATCTACCACTCTTGATGGTTCTGCGGAAAGAGGACAAGGTAATATCGCTTTATACAAACGTGCATCAACACTATACTGGCGTAATGTATCCCTTGTCTTTGTAGGCGGCGACATCGCACGGATAACTTTCGACAGTCATTGAATGGAGGGTTCGTTGACCGCACGCCGAAACGTTCGAATTTGCATGTGTCAATGACACGATGCAACCGTTCGCCGTGGCCTATACTTTTCCTTTCAGCCGACGCTCCTGAGAAACAGTTTTCGCGGCGACCTCGTGACACGGCCTGACTGACTCACTATACTATTTTAGTGAAATCGTTTGGCCTTCTACAGCTAATTGCGAAACAGTTGAAAGATGTAGAATATCTAATATTTCTTATTATTGATTTCACATTAACGCTTTAACAGTCGCGAACATGCCGGCATGGCAGTTAACAATTGATTTCCCGGAAACTAACCACAGAGGTGTAATAAATCGATTAATATTGTTTCATTATGTAATTGTTTTTTTTAAATACGCCCAAAAATTCATAAAAATATTATAAAGTATTTAAATGTAGGTACATCGTTGAAAGATATTTCGGGGCGATTAGGTATTCCGAGGATTCACTAAAACTCAAGATAAGAATTAATGCCAAGCAAAGAGTTCAGCAAGAATCTTCCGGCCATCAGACACGTCGGCTCGGAACGTGCGAAATCCAATAAAGAACTTGCACCACCTGTAAGTTATTACATTCTTCTGGCGATGCCCGCCCACTTGAAATTTATCTTAACTTTCTATACAGTCTTCAAGTTTTACTTTGAAAATTCCGGCAATTAGTACAACGGAACGAAAGTTTTGCGGTGAAATGTTTTTACAATCAGTATTCGATTCCACCTCTATTTATATTCCAATGCTTTTCGGACTCATCCGTAGATCAAACATAAACTTTCACTAATAAAAAAATGTCTTAAGGCATTCATCTTATTTATTTATTAATATATTCATAAAAATATTTAAATTAATCATATTTTTGATCATTTTTATTGCTTAGCTAATGCGAGGAATTAATAAGCTCAGATTTGCTGTAAAATTAATCGAAAAATAAGTGTACCTTCATTTCATATAAAATAAATGAACAGTTACACATATCATGAGTTTTGCATTGAGAAACAATGGAATCCCTTGTGGGCGTTGATCTTAATTGCAAATGCGACATTTACATACATACATGCTTTGTGTTCTTCAAAAGTGTCTGTCCAAGGTGAGACTTTATAGAATTACATATAATATATTAATAATAATATCAATATTAAGATCTTGACATAATTACAGCCAACTATTAATAAGATTAAACATTAAATAACTTATACTACATAATATAATATTACTAGCGACTCACCCTCGCTTCGCTCGGGTTCGTCCCTAGATACCTTATGACGGTTAGTCTGGAATACATAGACTATATAGTCTATGTATATATATACTCCCTTAAGGGATGATTTTCGGGGTAAAAACTATTCTATGTCCTTCCCAGGGTCTCAAATTATCTCCATACCAAACGTCTAAATCGATTCAGCAGATTAAGCGTGAAAAGGTAACGGACAGGCAGACAGACATAGTTACTTTCACATTTATATATTAGTATGGATTATTTTGTAATTTGCATCGCAAAGGTACGTAAAGTAAATATATTTTTGAAACTGAGTACAAGCTTTTATTTTATTTAAAATTAAATAATGACAATTTAATCAGTCTTAGTTTTTGATAATATATTAAAATATGTATTATAAAAGCCATTGATTTTAGGAGGAACCTTACAAGTTACGTAAGAGAATTCAAATAAATAGACATACTCGTATGTACATAATATACATAGTACACACAATAGTACCTATATTTTCCCTAAGAACAAATCCGAGCGAAGCGACGGTGAGTCGCTAGTATAATATATAATTCTTATTAAGTTTTTATTAGGCATATTCTACATATATTAATCTTTTATCTTATAAAATTCAATGGAGTTTTATGGAAAAATGATATTTTAAATATTTTGACGTTTTATTCTGTTTTATAATCATACGATAACTAAATGCATTATTAAAATTGTTAATTACACCTTAGTAGTCTTAATTTAATTAGTTGCTATCTGTACACGAATATAATTGGCAGCAAACACTGCTGAATTAATATGTATTTGGGTTGTTAGGCGGGACTTAAAACACATACCGTTAAAGCGTGGGTAATGTATGAATATGATTGTTTGACTTTTCATGATTTTGTACTAACAGATGCATTTGGAAAGTTAAAAGGTTTAAAGAATTTATTTTCCAAAATATTTAACTACTAAAACCTATTCTAAAGTAAATTATATGATTTTTATAAATTCTATGAGATTGTTTAAAGTAAGAGCGTTCTTTTTTTTAATATAATTAAAATATTATACTCAAAACTTGACGTAACGTATCAAACTCATTTTCGCAACTAAAGGCGGAAAAACTTGTTATTTATATACATATCAGCTGACCGTATCTTAACTTTTTATCAAGTATTTTTATCAAGTACCAAGACGCTTATTACTAATTTTTCTTAAATTACTAATTACTATAAAATTACTTA